GAGATCATCCAGTTCCAACCCCCTGCCATGGGCAGGGACACCTCCCACTAAACCAGGGCACCCAAGGCTCTGTCCAAGCTGGCCTTGAACACCGCCAGGGATGGAGCATTCACAGCTTCCAGCTCTGCTCCCTCGTGGCCTGCTTAATTCCTTCATCTCACAAAGCATGGACAGAGTGGTAAGTTAGGAAATTACAAGGAATAGAGACGGAAAATGACTACTGATGGCTGCCTCACTATGGGCTTGTCTCCTGTTTATCCAACTATTATTCTTCTTTTTCATTAGACCTCTTAATTCCTTTCCAACCCAGGATGGGCTGGTTTGGTTTTGGGGCTTTGTGGAAACAAAACAAACCTCACAAACCAGAGATGAGTTTCTTGACTGGGAGTTTGAACACTTAAATAAAGCATTTTTAGAAGAACTTCTTATTCCTGAGGGGTTTATCAGTTCTTCTCATTGGAACCGACTCATCATTTATCTCAGCTGTTGGGGACTGCGTTTCTTAAAGCATCAAACCCTACACACCAAACCCTATACTGCTGTCTGGGACAACAGGGTCCTTGTGACCGTGCTCGTGTGCATCAGGCACAGATCAATCTTTACACAAACAGTTTCTAAAGTGCTTTATGTGGCATCTGCTCTGCCACAGAAACCCAGAGGCACATCACCTGCCAACCTCCCCTCGGGTTTTACTGCTCCAACTGACATCTGTGCCCTCCGGTTCAGCCCTAAAGAGCACACACACACACACACACACAGAGCCCGTTCCACACGGAACCCAGCACAGGGACAGACCCAGTCGGTGGTGAAGGGAGCGCCGCTCGCCATCAGCTTCCTCACTTCGTCATCTTCGCCTTTGCGAGCTGCCTCGAGCAGCCTCTTCCCCAGGTCCACCAAGGACATCTTCACACATGGGAACAAGCGTCTGCTGGAAGCTGCTTTCGAAGCGAGGAAAGGGAAAAGGGACAAGCAGCAGTGAGGCACAGACGTGTACTTCAGAAGCGCTGTACAACCACGGCCCACGTGGACGCGCCACCGTCCCACCCAGAACCAGGCCCAAAACTACCAATAATTGGCTACAAATATAGAATCATGGAATGGGTTGGGTTGGGAAGGACCTGAAGATCATCCAGTTCCAACCCCCCTGCTGTGGGCAGGGACACCTCACACTAAACCAGGGCACCCAAGGCTCTGTCCAACCTGGCCTTGAACACTGCCAGGGATGGAGCATTCCCAACCTCCCTGGGCAACCCATTCCAGTGCCTCAGCACCCTCACAGGAAAGAATTTCCTCCTTAGATCCAATCTAAACTTCCCCTGTTTCAGTTTGAACCCGTTACCCCTTGTCCTGTCACTACAGTCCCTATTGAAGAGTCCCTCCCCAGCATCCCTATAGGCCCCCTTCAGACACTGGAAGCTGCTCTGAGGTCTCCCCGCAGCTTCTCTTCTCCAGGCTGAACAGCCCCAACTTCCTCAGCCTGTCTCCATACAGGAGGTGCTCCAGTCCCTGCTCATCCTCGTGGCCTCCTCTGGACTTGTTCCAACAGTTCCACGTCCTTTTTACCTTGAGGACCCCAGAACTGCACACAATGCTCCAGTGAGGTCTCACCTGAGCAGCGTGGAGGGGCAGGATCACCTCCTTAATGTTAATTTTTATACATTTAATAATTATATTTTTATATCAATATATGAATATTTAAATAATTTCTTTATAAGTAAATATCTATTATACATATCTACAACAATTCATCTATGAATATTCATCCTGTTGCTCAGTTCTGTGCCCTCCCAGACAGCGGCAGGGCCAGGCACCGCGAGGCAGCAGAGCTCCTGCCGGCGATGCTGCTCACCTCGACACCTCGCACGGACACGAAGCCTTGCCCATGGGGATCCACTTCCAGGAGCAGCACCTGTAGGAGCGAGCACGCATCTGGATGAGTCTTCAAGCACTCAATCCCCAACTCTGATCCCCAGCACTCACAACTATGCACGGGGGGGAGCTACCCTTGGCTAGGATACAGCAAACCTTGGTGTCCGCAGGGATTTGCTCAAGGCCATACAAGGACCAGGACCCGTGCTCGCTGCACCCCCATAAAACACAAGCACGGGGATGGGGAAGTGCAGCAGCTCCCGGGGATGGGGCCCTGCTGGTGTCTGCCAGGGGGCTCAAATCCTGCCTCGAAAGCCTCGCCGTTAACTCATGGGCAGCAAACGAGCGCCAACGCCGAGGGGCCCGGTGCCAAGCAGCGTTAAGAGCGATGCCAGCAGCCTTCAGCTCGTTGCTTCCCCCCCCGATTCCTTCCCTATTTCTCCCCTCCTCGGGCACCAGCAGCACAAACCCATCGCAGCGAAGCCCAAGAGCAAACCTGAGCCCCACGGGGCTGCAGCGCCCGTCCCAGCTCCCCCCTCCCCACTTCACCATGGGGGCTCCCTGCCTTCCCAAGGCGCACAACAGCACCCAGGGCTCGCAGTGCCCCCCTCGGCACTTGTGGGGCAGGAAGGAGGGGGGTTCCCGATCCCTCCTCCCCACCGGAGCCCCCCCCCCCCCCCCGGCTCCCCACTATGGGCCCGGGACCCCTCGGCTCCCCCCGGTCGCTCCCACACGGGACCCCCAAAACACGATGGGGGGGGGGGGGGGCACAGCCCCTTCCCATCACCTCCAAACGGGCTCGGGAGCTGCTCCTTCACAGACCCCCCCTTCCTCTGCCCCCCAAGACCCTCACAGCCCCCCCCCTCCTTTGCCCCCCAGGACCCTCACAGCCCCCCCCCTCCTTTGCACCCCAGGACCCTCACAGCCCCCCCCCTTCCTCTGCCCCCCCAGGACCCTCACAGCCCCCCCCTTCCTCTGCCCCCCCAGGACCCTCACAGCCCCCCCCCCCCCTCTGTCCCCCAGGACCCTCACAGCCCCCCCGCCTTGCCCCATAGGACCCTCACAGCCCCCCCCTTCCTCTGCCCCTCAGGACCCTCACAGCCCCCCCCCTCCTTTGCACCCCAGGACCCTCACAGCCCCCCCCCTTCCTCTGCCCCTCAGGACCCTCACAGCCCCCCCCTTCCTCTGCCCCCCAGGACCCTCACAGCCCCCCCCCTTCCTCTGCCCCCCAGAACCCTCACAGGCCCCCCCTTTGCCCCCCAAGACCCTCAACCCCCCCCCCCTTTGCCCCCCAAGACCCTCACAGCCCCCCCCTTCCTCTGTCCCCCAGAACCCTCACAGGCCCCCCCTTTGCCCCCCAAGACCCTCACCCCCCCCCCAAGACCCTCACAGTCCCCCCCTTCCTCTCCCCCCCCGGACACCCCCCCCCCCCCCCCAGCCCCGTTCCCACGGGGGTCCCCCCTTCACCCCCCCCCGTCCCCACTCACTCAGGGCTCGCACCCCCCCCCCGCACGCGGCTGTTCGCGCCTCGCGGCACCGCCCCCTCCGCGGCTGTTCCCGCCCCTCCCGCCGCGGCCACGCAAAATGGCCGACCTATGTGAGGGCGGAGGGATACCTCACCGGTAACAAAAGAGTCCCTCCGCCGCTAGCGGGGAATAGGGGCGGATTGCGCCTTCCCTCGCTGGCATAGACGGTACGGGGCGGGATTAGGGACGTTCTCCTTTACCCCAGCACCCTCCCAGCCCGGGAGGAGGGCGGCGAGCAACGGCGGAGCCCTAAACGGGGAGTATTTTCTACAGCGGAAGGAGCGCAGGAAGAGCGCAGTGTTCTATTGAGGCGCATGGGGAGTGATGCGGCCCTGCAGTTAGTCCCGGCAGAGGCGTTCAGGCGCCAAGTACAAAAGGGCGGTGGAGCCGCGCTGTGGTGCGGGGGTTTTGTGCCTCGTTAAGCGTTTGGGTACGTCTGTGTGCATGTAAATGTGTATATAAGTGTGTACATACATGTATATAAAGTCCTTTGTGGGTCTCCTCCTCCTGTGAGGGCTCCGTTCCGAGCCGAGGGGCAGCGCTTCGGGGCTCCTCCTTCCCTGGGCCGTTTGACGGGGCTTGGAAACGGTGAGGTTGAGGCAATGCCCTGAATGGGATTGGGATAAAGTTTGGGATAGGAGGCAACTTAAGGGGAGAGCTCGGAGCAGCTCCAGTGCCTGAAGGGGCTACAGGAAACCAGGGCAAGGGCCTGTAGGGAGAGGCCAAGGGGAATGGGTTTAACCTGCCTGAGGGGCATAGGGGTAGGATCTGAGGCAGAAGCTCTTCCCTGTGAGGCTGCTGAGGCGCTGGAATGGGTTGAATGGAGAAGGTTTGGCTGCCCCATCCCTGGCAGTGCTCATGGCCGGTTGGAGCATCCCACTCTGATGGGAGCTGTCCCTGCCCGTGGCTTTAGATGAGCTTTAAGCTCCCTTCAACCCAATCCATCCTATGGAAATAATCACTTAGGTTCTTTCCCCATTTAAATCCTGTGCAGCATTTGGGAAGACACGGGTGCATCCGTTCTTAACGCACCCTAAAAAGATTTAAAACAATTTAATAGCAAATTATGGAAATAACCAGATTCCGGCCTGCGGGGGTTCTTTTTAAAGGATCCATGGGAACGTGTACGGTTTGAAGTACTTTAATTCAAGTTTCATAATAAATACTGTGGGGTTTCCCAGCTGGGAACACAGAAATCACAGCTCTGCATAGGAGGGTTTCCATTTGTCACCTCTGGCTTCACATGGTTCACAGTCCGGCTGCCGGCTCCCTTCTGGAGGTTACAGGCAAAGGGAAGGTTTTCCCAATGTATTCCTCCTTTTTGGGGCACCTTGTGGGTGCTGCCTCAGCTTCCACCCCCCCCTCAACCCTTAGGACAGCTTGAAATGTTCCCCATCACCCCATTAAACCCCCCTGCCAAAAGGAAACCACCGTCAGGAAGACAAATCACTGGTGTTCCCTCTCCCATGTGGGGGGAATAAAGCCCACAGCTGTTTCAAAGCAAAACATGATCCAGGGATGGGGATTGTGTTCCTCGTTTTGGTGTGATGCTCGGGAAGAGGCTTCATCCGGACACCTCTCCAAGGAGAATGCAGCATTTTGGTGGTTGTAGCTTTTAAAGGGCTGGGGCAATTGGCTGCGGAACCAGAGGCGTTTTCATTCTGGGGTAAGAGCAAACTGAATTCTCCCTATCTTTCAGCTCAGCCCTTGCTTCCCACCCGGCTCCCAGGAGGTACCCGGAGCACTTGGGATAAAGCACAGGGGGGAGAAAAAAATGGAGAAAAAGGCAGATTTTGGGCAGCGAACACCCAGCCCTTACCCCCCCCCCCCGGCAGGTTGGTGCATTTCCATGGGTATTTATCCTCCCGGGTGTCATTTCTCCTGCTTGGGCTCAAGCCACAGGCCCAAAGAGATGATTTCTTTCAAGGCAGAGGTTTGTGCGCATGTCCTAGACGCATCCCTGCCTCTTCCACCTCTCATTCCCGAGGGTTTGGTTAAGCAGGGAGGTGGCTTTAGGAGAAACTGGGCTAGGGGAGCACAGAGGGAGAGGAGCAGGAGCAATGCTTCCTGCGAAACGAAGCCTGTTCCCACCCGGTCTGCGCCATTCCCTTGGCACAAATGAGCTTCTTACGAAAGCACACCAGAAATCAGCTCAACCGCTTGTCCCCGAGCACGGGGACGCCCATGCTCACACAGACACAGGGTGCAAGGGGGTGGCAGAACCCCCCCCCAGCACCTCCCACACCCGCAGGCATGTGGATGTGGGGCAATGGGGTGGCTGTTTCTGTCCTCTCCCCTTGTATTTGCCCCCTGTCCCATTACCCCCCTGCTCGCACCGTCGTGGTGTTGCCAGCGGTAGCGCAAGGAGGGAAGACAAGAGGGAGAAGGGGGAGAAGGGTTGAAGCTTTGAGGGGAGCTCATTTCTGTCAGGGCCAGGGTGAACCATTTCATGAACGTTAACCGACGATGTCAGACGCTGCCTGGCGACAACACAAAAACCCCAGCCTCCAAACCGACACCAAAACCGAATCCTGACATAGCCTAGCAGAGAGGGAGAGGGCAGGGGGGGTGAGGAGGGGCAGAAAGGAAGGCTTCAAATGAGGTCGAAATCTAAAGAGCTAATGCTGGCGATAGGAGCTCTCCAGAAGTTAAAGCTGTTGAACTGCAGCAGACCGTCCTCTTCCTGGGAGATGTCCTGGCGGGCCTCATCCTGCTCGCCGACGAGCTTGCCCAGCCCTCCTTTGGGTTTGTAGAGGGCCACGTCACTGAGCCCCAGACCCTCCAGCTCCGCCACGTCCAGCTGTGGGATCGGCATCCTCCAGTAGATGAAGGAATCGTACTGGCTGCTGATGGTGTCCAGCATCTTCGGGCTGTGAAGGTGAAGGGGGCAAGGGGGGAGGAGGAGCAAAGCTCTACCAAAGCGGCCAAAACCCTCAAGTGTTGCCCATAGTGACCAAATCCCACAGGATACACCCGCAGAAAAATCAGTGGGGCAGGAGAGTGTGCTGTCATGGAAGTTTGACTCCGGGTTGGGTCTGAATGCAGAGCTGAGCCCTGCCACTGCCCTTTCTCTAAGCTGCAGTTTGGAGGGGCGTGCAATGGGACCTGTGCCTCCGTGCCTCAGTTTCCCCATCCGCACAAAGGGGAGTGCGGGAAGGAAGACCGGGACGGGCTAGCCCCTGACACCCATCCCAGGCACCTTGATTCCTGTGCGGTGGCATTAGCAGGGAGCAGAGCCGGGCTGTCCCCTACACCCTTCCCTGCTGCGCATGATGAAACCCAAACGGTGCAGAAGGGTCTTGCACCCTGTGGGTCGAGCAGCAAGCGGGGTCCCTGTGCACCCCCACAGAGCCTATGCCCCACCCTTCCCTGGGTGGCATCGCATTGCCCCGAGGGACCGCGACCGAACCCTCTAGAAGGGGCTGGAAGAAGCATCTCGGTGTTGCCATCGCACCCACCCCATGGGTGCCACCCTGCCCCTGTGCCGCAGAGCCCCCTCTGCATCCCCACCCCAAGGGGGGGGGAGAGCGGCAAGGGGATGTGGTCCCACTTCTCCCCCAGCATGGCTGGAGCTGAGTCACTGCAGCGCTGTCATTCATGGCTTGGCAGCGATCAACCGGTTGAAACAAGATGCCCCTCTTTGCCCAGCGATTCCCCCTGCGGACGGGAGCGCTCCGGGATGATTCAGCCCTTCCCTCAATCACGCCCTCCCTCGCTCCCTGCCCTTGCGATGAGGGGTACCCGGCTGCTAAATTGAAGGTTACCGATGGAACGCAGAGGCTGGGAAAGGCTCCTCCATCACTCCCCCCCCCCCCCCGGGGAAACTGAGTCACAGGGCTTTGAAGCAGCCTCCTCCCCGGGGATACATCCCTGGGGATACCTCCCTGGGGACCTTTCTGCATAACGGCAGAGGGATGTGGTGGACAATGGATTTTAAAGCCTCAAAGAGGGGGGAAAAGGGAGTTTAGGAACAAGAAATATCCAGAAAAGGCAATGGATGGGGGGGGGGGGGGGGGACACGACACGACCGAAACCCTCTTATCTTGTGTGTCATCCCCAGTGAAGAGCATTTCCCCTGGGATCACTGTGGTCCATTCCTCCTGTGGGGGCAAAACCACCTTTATCCACTTAATCCCCTCTGGCTGTGCTTATGCCTCCTCCCCCAAATAGATAAAGCAAATAAAACCCTGGGGTGCCAATGTCCCCTCTATACAAATCTCTTCCCCCCCGCAAAAGCATCCTCTTCCTTTTCGTCCCCCTTCCGCCTGCATCCCTCCTTACCTGCCGAGGATGGATGGGAGGATGGAGGGGTGGGCTCGCTGCTGGACCAGACCAGCTCTTTGTGCCGGGGAGCTGCAGGCGTCACCGCTTCCCTTTTGTGTGCTGCGTGTCTGGGTCTGCAATGCAGCCCCTCGATGAATTCCCCTCCGTTAGGGGGGGGGGCAGACGGTGGGAAGATGAGTCAGCGCCAGGGAGGGGCCGTGGATGCGCAGGAAGGGATCCCGTGTGCTGGAGCCCTCGAGCTGGGGATGCATTGAACCTGCAGCGGTCCCGAGCCGCTCCAGCTCGGGGTTTGGGGGGTGATGGACTCGTTTCAGCCTCCGAGGAGCTGGCAAATGTGAAGAAACGGGGTGCTGCGGCACCCCCAGACCTTGGGCTGCGCCAGGGCGCTTTGTGGGTCAAGTGCAAGGAGGTTTGGGGTAAAAAAAAACCCCACGGATAAGGGGGGGTTTGGGGGCTGTTTTGTCAGCATTGCTCAGTCTGGAGGTGTTTGGTTCTGATGCCGTGCGTCAAAAATAGCTTGGCTTTGTGTCTGGAGCTCGGAATAGCAGGGAGACACCCAAAGCTGGAATCGCTTCCAGGGCTGGGATTAGGGCTGCTTTGAACCAAGGGGTGCAGCCTGCTCCAACCCACCCCACTACCATGCGCTCGGCTTCCAGTTGGGCTATTTCTGCCTCCTCCTCCTCCTCCTCCTCGTCCTGTCCCCACCACTGCTGTGGCCAAGAGGATCTCATGTCCTCTGCTCCTAAATAGCTCTGGTCTTCACTTGGCCCCACCAGCAACCGGCATGGGGGAAATGCAGCCCGGGGGCCTGATGGAGGGTGCTTGAGCCAGGGCTTGAGCTCTGTGTTTCCAGGGATCCCCGAGTCCATGGGGCGCAGCTTGGCTGAGCACCTCCACAGTGAGCTGGATGTGACTCACCTGCTTGCCCAAGCGCTTGGCTTTGGGGTGTCACCTCCTGAAAGGGGTAGCTGGCGCGTGACAACCCAAACCTGTGACGTCCCTCCCCTTGTGCCGAGCCCCATGGGGGAAGATGCGGGACGTGGTGATGTGGGGTCCCTCTGAAATCATTTTGCTGCGGTGGTTTTGGCACTTGGGGGCTCGCCGGGGGCTGCCCAGGCCCAGCACACACATTGCTGGGGTGGGTGTGTGGGGGTGTAAGGGGTACAGTGTCCTCTGGCAGCACAAGGACCCAAAAGGGCTCTTCAGCTGAACCGAGGTCTCAGACACTCAGGGTATCACCAGCCCGATGGCTTGGGACAGGTGGGGGACAGGGACCGGGCTGAATGGGGTCAGAAATGGGGCTGAGTGGGGACAGGGACCAGGCTGAGTGGGGATAGGGATTGAGCTGAGTGGGGACAGAGATGGGGCTGAATGGGGACAGGGACTGGGCTGAATGGGGACAGAGATGGGGCTGAGTGGGGACCAGGCTGAGTGGGGACAGAGATGGGGCTGAATGGGGACAGAGATGTGGCTGAGTGGGGACAGGAACCGGGCTGAATGGGGACAGAGATGGGGCTGAGTGGGGACAAAGATGGGGCTGAGTGGGGACCAGGCTGAGTGGGGACAGAGATGGGGCTGAATGGGGACAGGGACTGGGCTGAATGGGGACAGAGATGGGGCTGAGTGGGGACAAAGATGGGGCTGAGTGGGGACCAGGCTGAGTGGGGACAGAGATGGGGCTGAGTGGGGACAGAGATGGGGCTGAGTGGGGACAGGAACCGGTCTGAATGGGGACAGGGATGGGTCTGAATGGGGACAGGGATGGGTCTGAACGGGGACAGGAACCGGGCTGGGTGCGGACAGAGCCGCCCTGTTCCCCACTCGTGCAGTGGGACGGGAGCCCCTGGCTCTCCCGCAGGCTTTTCCCTGCCTGGATCCCCGCGGCCGCTCCGGAGGTCCCCGTGGGGCTCTCAGGTGTCCGTCGGGAGCCGCGGTTCCTCCGCGGCCGCGGCAGCCCCGCTCTGGGCACTGCACCGTGAAGGGAGCGGTGCGAGGCCGCTGGGTGCCGGCCGCGGGGAGGGAGGGGGTGCTCGGGGGGGTCCCCCCCATTTTGGGTGCTTCGCTGGAGCTCAAACCCGGGCCCAAGCCCCCGGCATCGCTGCCCCCGGGCCCCCCCCACCCCGGGGGTGCCTTTGGGAGCCGGGGGGGGGGACGGGGACACCCGCGGCCTCTCCGGCCCCTCCCGCCGGGCCGCGCTCCCTGCAGTGCCGGCTGCGTCCAGGGTGGGAGCTGTGCTCCGGGCCGGGCGGCGGGGGAGCGCCGCGTCCCCGCACCGAGAGCCCCGCACCGGGACCCCTCACCCTGCGTCGGGGCAGGTAACGGGGCCGCCACCGGCACCGCCACCGGCACCGGGACCGGGGTCTCCCGACGGGAGATGGGGGGGGGGGGGGGTTTGGCCCCGCGGAACGGCCCCCGGAAGCGCCTCGGGGGAGGGCACCGGGCCGGGAGGGGCCCCCTTGAAGCGCAGCGGCGGAACCGGGGCCCTGCCGCGACCCCCGGGCGGGCCCGCACCGGCGCTTCCGGGCTCGCAGGCCCCGCCGGGTCCCCGCAGGCCCCCGCTGCTGCCCCCGTTGGCCGCCCCCAAGCCCGGGGGTCCCGGGGCCTCCTCCCGCTCGGCCCCAGCGCTCCTTGGGCTCGGGGTAAGGGGGGGTCCGGGCCGGGGCCGCGGTGCCCGGAGCGGCCCTGGCCCAACGGGGAAGTCGTTGTGGGAGCGCCGGGCCCTGAGCGCCCTGGGCCGGGCCTCGCTCAGGGCAGGGGTGGGCGAGCGGTGGAGGGGGGGAGCTGGGCCCGGAGGGGCTGGGGGTGCCATGGGGGGGGTTGGGGGGGTCTGGGGGTAACATGGGGGGGTTTGGGGGGCTGTGGGTGCCATGGGGGGGGTTGGGGGGCTGTGGGTGCCAGGGGAGGGGGTTGGGGGGATGGGGGCGGAGTTGTAGCGTGGGGTTGGGGGGCTGTGGGTGCCATGGGGGGGTTGGGGGGCAGGGGGTGCCATTGGGGGGGGTTGGGGGGCTGTGGGTGCCATGGTGGGGGGGTTGGGGGGCTGGGGGTGCCATGGGGGGGGTTGGGGGCTGGGGAGAGTCGTAGCGTGGGGTTGGGGGGCTGGGGGTGCCATGGGGGGGTTTGGGGAGCTGTAGGTGCCATGGGGGGGTGTTGGGGGGCTGTGGGTGCTATGGGGGGGTTGGGGAGCTGTGGGTGCTATGGGGTGGGGTTGGGGGGCTGGGGATGCCATGGGGTGGGGTTGGGGGGCAGTGGGTGCCATGGGGGGGGTTGGGGAGCTGTGGGTGCCATGGGGGGGGTTGGGGAGCTGTGGGTGCCATGGGGGCGGTTGGGGAGCTGTGGGTGCCATGGGGGGGGGTGGGGAGCTGTGGGTGCCATGGGGGGGGTTGGGGAGCTGAGGGGGGTCGTGGGGTGGGGTTGGGGGGCTGAGGGGGGTCGTGGGGCCTTGAACCCCGTGGGGTTTCCATGGGTGCGAGGCTGAGCCCGGTCCCGAGGCCTCCCCACCCCATTGAATCCGGCAGCGAGCGGGGGCCCTAAGGGAATGGGGCTGGGAAGGAAAGGGAAGGAGCCCCCAGCCCCGTGCCCATCTGTAGCCATGGCTGGGTTTAGCCCCCGA